ACGTCCTCCATCTCTATCCTCACCCTATTCATCGGCCAGTCGCGCATCAGGCCGTAGTAGTACCTCTCTAATCGTGGTGAAAAGACTCCCACCTGCAGGTAGACTTTGTTTTTGACCGCCACGTTGGGTGGTCTGACGTGGGGAGCGCACACGGACGGTCTGGAGCGGTACAACAGTCTATTGCGCGCGCTATGGTACAACTCGCTTGGAATCTCTACCTCGCCCCCGACGTCCGAGTGCCTCACCAAATACGCTTCGGATTGCGACTTCAACACGAACCACACGTGGGGTTCGACCGACCACACTTCTTGCAGGAAGCAGTTGCTCGGGTGCAAATCGGAGACCCTCCTCTGCGCCATCTGAGCCGTCACGCTAGATATTTCGGACTCGAAGAGCGTTTGAAGCGATCTTCTCATCGAACTTCGTCGCGCCGCGGTCTTGGACTCGCAAAGGTCCATCAATTGGAGTACCTTTTCCTCACTAAAGACTGTCGACGAATTCGTTGGAAATAGATTGTTCAGGTAATGCAACCTATAATAAACGACCGAGGCCAGTGGACCTATGGAACAATCCGTTCGCGCCGCGCCCACGAACCCTACGTAAGGGACTAATATCTTAGCCCAAACTCCGGGGCTTAGCAACATGCTACGAAGCCTTTGGTACGCGTGTTTAATCACCGGATCTACTACCGCCGCTTTGAAATCGTCGTCGTAGGTTCGATTCGAGAACAGCGGTACGTGATTCGAGTTGGCGTCGAGGTTCGCGGCGGTCGACTCTTTCAAAGAGCCGTCGTCGGAGTAGAGCCAGGCTCCGTCGTTACAGCACGTCTCTAGGGCAAAATCTAACCAGTCGCAGGACTCGCATGCTCGCGTGACGTACGCCGCCCTCTTCCGCATGCCCCGAGTGATAGCGAAAAAGTTGTTGCCGAATCGCGAAAGAGTGTCGTTTCCGTACGCGTAGCTCGTTCTACACGCCGTGACGAGCCGCTGTGACATACTGCAGGTAGGGACCCCGGCCAGCGTAAAGACGGCTTCCCAATCCCCCGCCGATTGCAGTTTGTCGAGCGGTTTCGTCAATAAACACGACAGAGCCAAGTCGCCGCCTTTTCTCTTTATGACTTTGACTGTTACACCCTCCTCGTTGAAGACGTAGTTGCTGAAATCGCTCGTCACCGTCAACTTGTCGGTTATCACTAGGCTTTGAGCAGCCTTGACTGTGACGGGGTCGGTGAACAAGAGCGAAAGCCAAAAGTCGGTGACGAGTCTGAATGCTTCTAGGATGCCGAGGAGCGGCCCGGCGGCATCCGTGGTGAAATCGTAAAACATCGGAGCGTAGACTTTAGGCGTTTTGAAGAGCGGCGCCAGTAGCCTAAAGACTTCGTTCTGATCGAATGGATAATTTGCCACCGGGACTGCTTTACCGTTCGCAGCTTCGTTTAGAGGTGAATAGAGGCAGTACACGATCGGTCCGTACAACAAGCAGGCGGCTTGGTGAACGATTTCCGGACACGAGTCGTCGTCGTCTACCAAAGCGCTCCAGAGTTGGCGTTCAGAGAAGCGGTCCCCGACCAAGATTTTGGTCACCCAGAGCCCGTAGTCTTGTCCTCCCTCGGGACTCGGGTAGACGCTCACCAACGTGTTGCCGACAGCCGCGGCGTAGTCGGCCAAATCGTCCAGAGTGCGAGCGCACCCCCGCTGCTTGGCGGCTACAAATTTATTCCAGAGCATCGCGTTGTTGACCGCGTCGTTGGGATGCCTGAACCTGGTGGCCGCGGAAGACGAGAATCTGTCCGCGTCGTCGAATCTGCGTAAGGTCCTAGTTCGGTAAAAGTAATCCAGCGAGCACAGGTACTCGCCGGTGAGAGGATTTATTAGGTAAACGTAGCCGCCCGTCCAACGCGACGGCGCCAGACCACCGCCGTCGTCGTCGGGCACCAAGGTGACCGGGTCGACGGGGGGCGGCAATCGATGCAGTAGCCTATGGTCGTCCGGATCGTAAGGACTCTCTCGCAGGACGAATGCCAACTCTCCCAAAGTTCCTGGGCTTATGTTGGCCTCGAATGCGCTCTTGGCAGCTACGGCGGACAAGTCCCCCGCTTCGAAATCTATCAAAGGGTCTAGAGTCAATGAGACGTCCCGGGTAATTTGTACGGAATACATTTTTATTATTTGAGATCAGTAAGGTTTCCGGAAGCGAATGCTACGCCTCTTGACACCCAACTGCTCTTCCGTCAGTAGGGACGCGCCGACGCGCGCCACAAAGTTTTCGTAGCAGTGGCCGACCCGCACCATGGAGATGGTCCTGTGACCGGGCACGTCGTTCTTGATCATGACGGCTTTGACGTACTTGTATAGGGTGCTCAGCTTGTCTATGTCGTACACGGGGCACGGATACTCGTCGGCATCCAGCCCCCGGACGAGCGGGCCGTCGTAGTATCTGTCCAGGACGTTGGATATGAGCGTTCGGAAGGGGTCTCGTCTGTAGACCCACATGACGGCGCCCTTGACGCACGAGACGAGGTGCATGAGCTCCACGAAATAGGGCACGACGTCCCAGCCCTTCAAGACTCTCGGGTACTTGGACAGGTACAGCAAGACGTTTTGATCGTGTCGATGGCTGGCGTCCACGTTGTGCATGGCAATCAGCGGCGGCTCTTCGCCTCTACCGGACGCGAGTTTGTAGGTGACAAAGTACCCGTTGGACACGGGGTTCAGGTCAAAGACTGTCCACATGTTGAGGACGCCGGACCTGTCCACCGCGTATCCCGTCGTTAGTCTAGTGACGTCCTCGAAAGATTGCCCCTCGATGGCTGCCTTGCCGGCGGCTTCGCAAAACTCTTCTCTCTCTTGCGGCCGCAGGTCTTCTTTGACGTATTTGCAAAACAGCGGTATGGTGACGTGCAACGGCGTGGTGTCTTCGAGGTTATTAGGAGCTTTGTGGACCGTGTCTAGATAGTACTTGATGGCTTTCTTGGTTCGCGTGCCCAATACTTTGGAGTAGTAGTAGTATAAAAGCGTGCGAGTGAAATCGTCGTACTGTCTGGCGTGGTGTAGATCGTACATAATAAAGTCTTCGTCTATGGGGTCTTGTAAATCGCCGTCTTCTCTCGTGTCCCGAACGAGCCTAAATTTGTATCTAGGAACTTCCGAATCCACCACTTTATCCACCGGACCCAGGTAGCCGAGCGTATAGGCATTCAATACAAAATCCAAGAAGTCGTACGACGACGCGGCGTGCGCGAAGGCAGCGGCACTCTTCATAAGAACGGCAGCCAGTGGTTTCTGCGGGGCTAGCAACTGCGCTGGCGTCTTAAAGAGATAGGAAGCTCTGAGTCCGGTGATGGTTATAGTGTTGAAGAGTAGGTTGTAGTCAAAGTTGTTTATGTGAGAGTCGACGATTTGTGCGATCGACACGCCCTTTATGGACTTCATGGCCGTCCTAAAAATCCACCTCCACATTTCGGTACACTGAACGTTCCTTTGCGGACGCGTGAGTAGAATGGACAAGGGCTCTATCGGACTAGCGAACGTTTCGAGTATGAGGTCGTCGTCCACGGCAAAAGTGAATATAGCGTTGCACGACGTCGACTCTCGCGCCAAACAAACGTGGCCAGTGTAAACTTTTTCCCGTTTCAGAGATGGATCTACAGCGTCGTCGTCCTTTTCGTAGTCTAGGACGTGTTCGTTTTTGTGTTTGGACACGTCCACGTCTTTCGGAAACGTGGTTTCGACTTTATTAACGAAATAGCGTAGCCAGTCGTTGACCAATTCGTTGAATAAGGCTTGGGCTTTCTCCCAATTAATTTTTTGATCAGAACCGAACAATATTAAGCGTTCCACGTCCTTGTGTAAAATGACGCAGCCCTTATCAGTCGTGGATAATTGATCCGTAATATCGACTAGGTTAGCGAACGGGTACGTCCGTGCATACGCATCCTGTTTGTCGAAGTCGTACTTGACAAAGTATGGCTCCGCATCTATGTACGCATCGGCCAAAGTCTCGTGAGCATTACCGACCGGAACGCCTTCCGTATTCATCGAGAGCATCATTCGACTGTACACCTCTCTCCCGAACAAGACACACACGGCGGTTTGCACTGCCCTGACTTCTCGCATCGCATTGGTGGCCATCCAGAGAATGTCGTGCGCTCGGCGAGACGTGTCGAGGTCGCCAAACATCTTGGCATAGTGCGGTTCGTCGTTTATCCTGTGCTTCGTATACTTTAACTTGTCTAGCGCCTCGTCGATCACGTAGGCCAGAGCCAGACCAAAACCGTAACCCACTTCGTGTTCCCTGTAGCTCTTTAAATCGCCGTATAAGACCGTTTTTCCAGCGGCAACCGCCGCTCCGACGTCTTTGGAGTAGTATAGGTCGTCTCGCATTCCGGCCATGCCGTCTGTGCATATCCTCTGCCAATAGAGACCGTTGCATATGGCGGCACTTTTCGGTCTCACGCCAGTCGCGTTCGACACGGACCACGGGTTGCGGTTGGTCACGTCCACGGAGTTGTACAGACAGTAAAGGTAGTCTAGCGTGCATAGGTATTTGCCCGAGAGTCCGTCGATCACGTACACGTAGCCGCCAGACGTGTCCTCTTCGGAGGCGTGCGTGTGGTATACGTGAAGCTCCGACGACGGCGATCGGTAATAGGGCGTCTCCAGTCTATAATGCGGGGCCAGCAACAGGTCGCCGGGGTGCGCGAAGGTCTCGTCTCGGTTGCCGACGGAGTCTTTCTTCCACACCTCCAGCGGATGTTTCCGTAGAACGAAGGCTATCTTTTTGGCATCGAACGGGTTGTGAAAATTTAACACAATCCCGTCGTGTTGAACCAAGACGATGGCATTGACGCTGTTGAATTCATCTATCACGTCCTTTACCTTTACGGTCTGGCGTTCGTATTTCAAGAGCGGTCCGATGTCGACCTTACAATCGAGTGAGGTCTGCACATGCATGGTGATTGCCATCGTTTTTATTTCTACATTAGTACGTTTAACCGTTTATTATTGCAACATAACCCACACGTCGGAACGGTGACGGTAACACGTGCGGATCGCCAAAAAGAAAAAGGCGTAAACTACCGCCACGACGCAGAGCGATGACAGCGTGCTGAACAAACTCCACACGGTCTGTCGCTGGGAAAATTCTTGCACGAAGCGTCCGGTGTAGCTTCCGAGAAAGGTCATGGGCTGCATCACCGTCTTCCCGATCAGATCGCTCAGCACTAGGAGGGGGTTGACGTGCCACATGGCGCCAATGTGGAGGTTCTGGTAGAAGCGTTCGCACAGATCGTCGTCGTGCATATATCGCTTCAGGACATACCACGGCTCGTTTCCGACTACGAGGCATTTTTCGGGAATGCCTTCCGGATACTTGATATTGAAGGTGTCAATCTCGACCTGCTTCAGTTGTATCAGGTAGATCCAATGCCATGCGAAACTCGTGACTAGGAAACAGCCCACAAAGAGGCAGAGTTTGCACCTCCAAGAGGTGCCATAGCCGACCATGATCACCGAAGTAATGGCAAAGAACACGAGGGCCACCACGTTACACGGAAGCAATCCACATTGTGCAAATATGTAAAACATCGCGTCGCGTTTTTAATACCGCCGCCGCCGTTTGTTTTTAGTTTAAGAACCCTCCAATTACCTTTAGCGGGAAATACTAGGACCGTATAAACGATGTTCGCATTGGCAATTGTGCTGACGTTGATCACAACGAACGTGGTGCAGTGTTCGGAAAACGCTAGACTCTACGAGGAGAACTGGTGCATGAGCATGACCGAATGCTCGGTCAAGACCAAAATTCCATACGAGAGCTTGGAATCCACCAAGGTTAATCTCGGCCAATACAGAAGCATAGTGGCCGCCGCCAAAAAGAAGGTCCACGAACGAGACAAGATTGCCGACTGCAACAACTCTACGAGCGTGATGGTCTCTTACGAGGAGATACTCGACCTAATGATGTACGCCACGGTAGACTATTGGGGCAACGTTAAAAAAAAATACGACAACATGCATCTGTGCGCCTATCCAGACTTTACTCTCAAAGTGCAGTGCAATATCAGGGAAAGCGTGTACGACGTTCCGCGCGGCTACGTCTTTCAAAAGCCGTACGTGTTTCAGACGTGCGAGTCACCGCACATTAGATATCCGTGTAAAGGCAACGAGGCGTCCGTCTACACCCCAGAGCTCGTGAAGTGTCCCTTAATCAACGGGACGACTGTCCAGGTGGGGAGCCGAGTGAGAGTGACGTGCAGTAACGGCAAAAACGCCACGTTTCTGTGCGGTCACGACTACAAGTATCATCCGGTAGAGGATCTGGATAGCGCCGAGAAGGCTCTCAAACGCCTAAAAATCGACGCACTATGCGACGAGAAGGACGACGACGACATCAACGACGACTCGCATAGAAACAACGAATGGCTCACGATAATTTGCATCTTTATTCTTTTGATCACCACAATTACGCCAGTGTATCTTTGCGTAAAGATAATTTTTGATACTTAAAACGAAAAACCCATACCGTCCTTTTTTTTTGCCTGGGAAAACAACGGAACGACGGTCAAGGCCACGCAACCCTCGTTTTTGTCGGGAGGCACTTAACGTGTCTCCTTATCGCGATATCTATATGTAAGCTTATCTCGATGTTACCGCCCATTCGACCTTGATAGGGCCGTCTAAAGGTCACGTCGGATGGAGGTATATTAAGGACCGTTTCTCCCCGACTACGGTATATTGCGACCAGCACTCTAAGGACAAGATGACTATCGGGCACCTTTGCGACCCAGATCTCGTCTTTACTAGGAACGTCAAGGCGGTTCCAAAGACGTCTTGCGCCCTAGATGCCGATCACGCCTGTCTGCCAGAAGACCCGTTGCAGTACGACTGGTTCCTCTTTGCCGATTTGGTCAACGACCATGCTCAGGATAAGCATACCAAGGACTTGTGCGCACGATTCATTAGGTATCTCGCCTTGAAGAAGGAGGGCCGCCCGCTCGACGACACCGATCCCGTGACTCTACCCGCCGATGTCGATGCCAAGAAGCACGGAGTGTGGCGTCTGGTCAACGAGAACCCTCTGGAGCCTTCCAAGGAACCGTGTGGCAACGTTCCCTTGGAGATGAGACAAGAGTCTCACAAGACTCATTACAAGTTTCTGCAAAACGCGCAGTATGCCATCGGCTGCAAGCAGCAACTCCGCCAAACTCCCAAGGCTTTCCCCAAGACGGTTGCCGTCACTAAGATCGTAAAGGACGGTCGTCGACTCGAGTACGCCGAGCAAAAGAAGAGTTTCTTGGACGTCATGAGCTCTATGAAGCTGGAGATGGTGTCGACCAAGAACAAGACGTCTCGCCTAGAGTTCAAGCTGGCCAACGGACAATCGGCGACCGGTGTGAGTTTCATAACGGATCAAGTGGTCACGGTTGCTCCTGGTCTTCACTACGAATTTTGGGTGTCGGCGGACCGCAAGTGTGTGCGTACTCTGGAAAACGACGGTCCCCACTTTGCCGTCTTTAAGCAGAACATGAAGTTGGGTGTGGACGTGTGGCCGCTCTTGAACAGTGAGATGGCAGTGACGGCAGCCATCGGACTGTTTGCGTCTTTCTTTTCCTACGTTCTTCGAAACGTGGGCGTAAAGGACTCTCCTTTCGAAGAAATTGCAACGATGTACCCGTTTCACGCATTTTCTGAGAAGATTCGTCATTATATATTCGGAAATCCGCAGAGTCCGCAATACAAGAACAAGTTCATACCTATAAAGATGTCGTACGCGTTCGACAATTTGAGCAACATGACGGCGGAGCAGCGCGAAGACTATGCCAGGCTGGCGAGGAAGCACCGGAGCGAAGAGGACGTGAAGCGTGGTAGCGAGTACTGTTCTGCCATCCGCAACTTTTGCCCCAATAACGTCGTGGAGCCACACGTAAATAATCGCACCTTGTCTTACAAGCCGCTGTGGAATCTGACGGACATTGGAAAAAACAGGAACTCCGTCTACAAGGGCTTCATGCAAATTTCGATGGAGCCGATTTACCAGGTAAAGACCTTCACCTGCCGCATTCACTTTGCAACGGCAATCTTGAAACCCATTGACGTGGACTTTGGGCGTCTGGACGCCGACATTGATCTGGACGAACTCGAGGAGGACGAATTCAAGACCTTGATGCTAGAGAACATAAAATCGCCGTCTACCAGCACGGAGGAGGAGTCTAAGGAAAAGTTATTTTCCGACGACGAAGACGAAGAAGGCGCCTCTACGTCTCCAAATGATAAGCTCTCTGAAGACGAAGAAGACAACGAGGAAGCTCCATCGCCAAAGAAGGCTAGATTCGATGAATGAAATAAAAACGATCGCCACGATGTTTGTTTCTCTGTCGTTTATGCTACTGTCACTCGCCGTTGCCACGGCGAGTGGTAGGCGGACGGACGCTGACGTTAGGATATGGGAGAATAGACTACTAGGTCGCGGCGACCAAGAGCCAAACGCAACTCTCTCAATATACGAGCGCGTGGCTCGAAATCTCGTGACCAGAAAAGACTTTATGCGCTTTCACAGAAAGAAAGTCATAGATTGCCGCGAGACTGCCTATCTCGAAGCGTCGAACGACGTCTTTATAAACGTGAGTAGCATGTACTACGCGCAAATGACGGGCAACTTTCGCCAGGCGCTGCTTTACCCGTATAATAACAAGATGCTGGCGTGTGGTGTGTCTACCATAGACCTTTACGTCTCCTGTAATACGGCGGGCAATTACTACGAGTTTGTAAACAGTGACACGAGGCTCGAGTATCCTTATGTCTACGAAGTGTGCGCCCACCCGTTCGCCAAACATTACATGCCAAACTTTACGGTCCAAACGCCACCGCACGTGGCATGCGCTATGGCCGATCCGGACGTCGTGCAAGTGGGCTCGGCTCTGATCGTCGATTGTCCCGAGGGTAAGGCCAAGTACGTGTGCGGTCACGACGGGCTCTACCATTTGGTCGTGGACGCCGAGGGTACCTTTTTGGAGGACGTGGACGCTCACTACTTGCCGCACACGCTCGAAATGGACAAGGTGTGTAGGGAACCCGGCCGTTATTACTCTAGCGAAAACGGCAATCTTTACACCTATAGCGTCCCCACGCAGAGAGAGGAGGAGGAGGGCGAAGAAGTAGCAGTGTTGGTTTGGATCGCGACCGCCGTGGTCGTCGCGGTACTCGCCAGCCTCGTGGGAGTGGGCGTCGCGTACGGAATAAGGGCGTTGTTGGCTCGCAAAACGCAGCGGCAACAGCAGGTCGATATTACCAAGGAGGAGCCCATATACGAGAACGTCACCTTGAAAAGAATCGACTCGCTGATGCTCAAGTGTCGCGATTTCATGATGGCCAAGAGGACTGAATTGTGAATAAAAACTTCCATGAATACCCAATCGGTCCTCCCCTTCATTTTGATCGTTATTACTCTGCTCTTTATCGCGTCAGTGATCATCGTTTCGCTGATAGTCTTTACGCGTCTCCGATATGCACTTTTTCGTCGTACTACTGGTGGCCCCGACCGTGACGGTCAGGAGCGACCGGGTGGACGATCGCATATTTAGGAAAAAGTGGTGCTTTTATCAGAATCGCTGCGCCCACGGCACGGAGACTCTGGCGAGCGAGCAGGTGACTGCCGGTTCCTTCAGCGAGGAAACGTATCGCATCTATTCGGAAGGCGTGTTTGCCTGTAGGGGAGCGCCCTACTTGCGAACCAAGGACGGACGAGTCATTCCGATCAAAAAATACTTTAATCTGAGCGCTGGCGGAGGTTCGAACCATTACCTGAGCGCCGAGTCAAAGGAGTATGTAATATGTGGCCATCCGAAAAATAGCATGCCGGTCAGATGCCACGAGTACGAGCACTGGTACGAGCCCGTCCAAGAAGACCACGTCGTGTCGTGGCCCTACGTCGTGGACGTATGCACCTTCGACCCAAATAATCGCGACCTACCCCCCTTTAACATATCGATCCCGCCGGAGCTCAACTGTAGCATGGACAGAGGTCAGATTCCCGTGGGGAGCCGGTTAAGCGTCGACTGCGGGTCGGGTGCAGTGACGTTCGTGTGCGGCTACGATCGCATGTTTCACATTGACCCGCACAACGACGGAAGATTCTTGGACTACAAGTTTGGAGATGTACAACCGAGCTACTTGGAAGCCGCCTGCGAGGACTTAAAGTATTACGAACGAGAAATCTTGTCCATGCCGATCCAAGACGCAGTTTCCATGGCCACTTCCTTACGAATGTGCGTCGCCGGTAAAAATAACGAAGAGTATCACAACTTGATCTTTTACGTGCTTCTCTGTCTAAACAGCGCCCTACTGACGGCCGTTATCGCCGCGATCGGATGCATCGTCCATCACAACACCCGTCTAGAGAAAAACGCTTCAACCACGTACGCTCCTGCAGCCACCCACGACGACGAGGACGGTGGCAGAACCGCAACCACCGCCGTGTGACGCTGTGATTGTGTAACCGCGCGCCTATAAAAGGACTCAAACTACTAGCCAGTCCACAGCCTTCCGGCTCAGCAACACTTCCTTTGATTTCCTCCTCCCAATACTCC